AAAGGAAAAAAAAAAAAAAAAAAAAAAAAAAAAAAAAAAAAAAAAGCAACTTAGTGAACTAGAATTAACAGCCTGATAAAACCACTCGGCTGCGAACACATGCTAACTTTCATGGAAAAGAAAGGATGGGCAGAACCAAGAGCTTAGAGGGTGCAGCCAAGAGACATGGAGAATTATTTCCAGGCCTTGAAACTTAGGGAAAAGCCAACGTTTGCCCACCTGAATTTCAGAACTGCTATGATGAGTATCTTCCCTGTTCCTCCAGTCTTCCCTCTTTTTGAAATAGAATGTCTATAGCTATCCTATGCCTGGACCATTACTAGGTGTTGGGAGTAGTATGCAGGGCAGATAACTTGTCTCTCTAGTTTTACATACTGATGGGATCAAGAGAAACTACATCCAAGGATCCTCATCCATACCTGGACCTGATTTAGACAATAAGATTCTAGATTTTGAGCAGATGCTCTAATGAAATGAATCTCTAAGAGACCTTGTGAGGAAGTAAATGTATGTGTTTTGCATGTGGGAGGACAAGAATCATTGGGGTCGAAAGAAAAGGCTAGCTAAGATGGCTTCCAATTGTCCCCATCTCCTTGCATGCATGCCTTTGTGTAATCCCCTCTCTCTGAGTGAATGAAACCTGTGACTTGCTTCCAACCAATGGAATACAGCAAAAGTGATGAATGTCACTTCCAAGATAACATTATATAAGAGTACAACCCATCTTGCTAGAGACTCTCCCTTATTGGCTTTCATGATGCAAGCACCTATGTTGTGAGCTGCCCCATGGAGAGGCCCATGTGGCAAAGAACTGAGGGCACCCATCAGCTGAAAGCCAGAAAGAAAATGAGGCCCTCAGCCCAAGAGGCCAAAAAGAACTGCATTATGCCAACAACCCCTTGAGCTTAGAAGCACATCCTTCCACACAGTTGAACCTTAAGATGAGACCCAGCCCTAGGTAACACCTTGTTTGCAGCCTGTGAGAGATCCTGAAGCAGAGAACACACCTTAGCCATACCTGGACTCCTGATCCACAGAAAATGTGAGATAATAAACGTATGTTGTTTTAAGATGCTCATTTTGTGGTAATTTGTTATTCAGAAAAAGACAACTATATAGTGCCACTGTATAATCCCATCCTCTTGAGAGAAAGCTGGACCTTGTGACATTTCTAATAAATAGGATCCAGCAAAAGTGATGGGATGTCTCCTCTGAGATTAGGTTAACAAAAAGACTGTGACTTCCACCTTAAGCATCCTCTCTCATTCTCTCTTCTCTTTCTCTTTTACTCCCTTCTGGAACAAGCTAGCTGCCATGTCGTGGGGCAGCCCTGTGGAAAAGACCATATGGTGATGTACTGAGGCCTGCCAACAACCATGCCAGTGAACTTAGAAGCAAATACTTCCAAGTCGAGCCATCAGATAAGACTGTGGTCCCAGCTGACAGTTACACTACAAACTCATGAGAGACCTTGAGCAGAGGAACCCAGTTAAACCACATGCAGGTTCCTGACTCTCTGAGACAATAAACGTTTGTTGTTTAAACCCGCTAAGTTTTAGAGTAATTTGTTACACAGCAATAGGTAACTAATACACCCTCTACACTGAAAATGACCAAACACTGAGAGGAGTTTTAAAATTTTTAAACAAATGGGAACACATGCTATGCCCATAAATTGGAAGATTCAGTTCTGATATCTATTTTTCCCCAATTAATCTATACTGTCAATATAATTTTAATAAAAATCCCAGAAGAATTGTAGAAATTGACAAGCTGATTCTAAAATTTATACAAAAGTGCAAAGGACCTAGAACAGCCAAAACAAATTTGAAAAAGATCAACAAAATTGAAGGATTTATGTTATTTTATTTCAAAACTTACTATAAAGCCACAGTAAGCAAAAAAGCATGAAAAGAGTAGCTAACTAGACCCATATTAATACTTTCAGACAAAGACATCAAAGCAATTCAATGAGGAAAGGAAACTCTTTTCCACAAATGGTGCTAGAATAACTGGATATTCACATGGAAAAAAAACAAAACTTAACCCCAGCCTTTCACCATGCAAATAAAGTAATTTGAGGAGAATCACAGATCTAAATGTAGAAATAAAATGATAGTTTTTAGAAGAAAATATTGGAGAATATATATCTTCACAACTTGGGGGCAGGCAAAGATTTCTTAGGACAGAGAAAGCAATAATCACAAAAAAATTATTAGATTTCATCAAAATGAAAACTTGTGCTCATCACCAGATATCATTAGGAAAGTGAATAAGTAAGCTAAAGGCTGGGAAAATATATTCATATGACATATATCCGACAAAGGCCTTATATTCAGAATTTGTAAGTACCCCTACAACTCAATCACAAAAACACAAAAATTCTGATTAATTGCTAATAAGCATATACTACTTATTACTGGTTACAAGAAAAATGCAAATTTAAACAAAAGTGAGATGCCACCACACACACTAAGATGACTAAAATTAAAGAATGACACACCAGATGTTGGTGAAGATGTGAAGTAATTAGCAATTAAAAAGCAATTAGTGCTGATGTGAGTATAAAATGGTACAGCCACTTTGGAAAAAAATTCAGCAATTTCTCATAAAACAGTGGTTCTCAAAGTGTGATCCCTGACCTCAGGGGACTTGTTTTAAATGCAAATTCTCAAAACCCACCCAAGATGTACTGAGTGAAAAACTCTAAAGATGGGGCCAGCAACCAGCTCTCCGGGTGATTCTGATGCATGCTGAAGTTTGAGAACACTGTTATACAGTTAAACACAGACCTACCCTATGGCCCAGCAATGTCATTTCTAGGTATTTACCAGGAGAAATGAAAACATATTACCACAAGAAAGATTTATACAAGAACGTTCATAGTTGCTTTAGCCAAATACTAGAAACAACCCAAATGTCTGTCAATAGAATAAAAAACTGTGGTGCATTCATGTAATAGAACATGCTCAATAATATAAAGAATAAACTATTGCTACTCCTGACAACATAAGTCTGACAGACGTGTGCTAAGTAAAAGAACCTGGACATAATACATGACTCCATTTGTATGAAGTTCTATAACAGGCAAAAGTTACTGGGGTAATTGAAATGCTCTGTGTCTCAGTAGGGATATATGTATGTCAAAACTCATTGAGAAGTACACAAGACTTGTGTATTTCCTTGCATGCAATTTTTTTAAAAAACTAGGTGCTAAGGGCTCCTTAGGAAGTAAATAAGCTTTTTCCAAAATATGTTCTTAGGAACACCAGTCCTGATGGATGTGTCACGTAAGATAAATGGATATACAGTCAAACAAGTTTGGAGAAGACCTGATCATATTTCTATCTCTGTGAAATACATAACACATAGCAAGATTAAACGTTATTCAACCTAAAATAAATAAGCTTATTTGGGGGCTTATTTCACAAGAAACTGCAATTTTGACATTTATTTATTTCTTGTTTTCTTCTCATTTATCACAGTAAATTCTAAGTAATATTGGGAGACAAATATCACTCTTAAAATTGACATTGCCAACTTCTGATGAGAAAATACAACTGGCAACCAATTGAGACAGACCTGACTTTTCAAAGGATATTTCTAGATATCATTTTAATAACAGCAAAACTGCCAAGTCACCTCCAAAATTTCTGCTGAAAAGGAGCCATAAACAAAGTTTAAAAAAAAAAATTGTAAGTAATGTTATATCATAGCAAGCCTACGATAAAGTCTTTAGGAGGAATCTTTATTTACTACTTTAAATATTAATTAATGTTGATTGCTTCCAGTAATAACTATTAAATTGCAGCTTTATTCTCAGGAAGCTAGTCATGATTTATTTTCTTCCTATAATAGGGATTGTAAAAAGTTTCATAAGGTCATTGAAGGAAGTCTAAAGAGTCTGTGTAAAGTAAATGCATCTATAAGCTTATTTGCAGATTTTTCAAAATAGTGAATTATATAAAATAGGATCTTTTATTCCTTTGACTGCAGGAAAAAAGGGGAAAGAGTGTTTGTTTCTCTTTAGAGGAACTGTAGGAGGCCAAAGAGTTATAAACTTATTTCACAGAGTAAGGGACATTAGAGAATATTTAATTCACTTTCTGATGTGGAGACAATATAAACTTTTAAGTGATTTTGTAAGCGATTTTGTGATTTAGGATTTGCTAACAGGCTGGCATTTTCCATTTCCCCTTGTGCCTCCCCCCAAAGTACATTTTCATAGTGTCATAATCCCAAACCCAACACTGTCCCTTACTAGCTGTGGGACCCCGGAAAAGACAAACTGGCTGTGCCTCTGTTTCTTCATCTATGAAATGGCAGTAATATTGATCTTACAGAATTGTTGCAAAGATTAAAATGAGATTAAAAACTAGAATGATTAGAGCTCACTAAATAGGGAAAGAAGATATTCACAATGTTCCCTGTCTCAGAAGGAGAAAACAAACGGTCCAGCATGGCCAAAGATGAACGCACCCTGCACAATCACTTCTCCACTAGCAAGGCCAAAGTATAAGTGCTCTGCCCTTCTTGTCATGTGAAAACCTGGATGCAACTCTCAAATCAACATGTATAAATTAATGAACCTATAAACATACATAAGAACACTAATTTCACAAATAGCACATAATAATAAAAATGATTAACCTATAACAATTCCTTCTTAAAATGCTGGGACAAACAAGAGATAAGCAGAACAACAAATGGGAAGGTAATTAAGAGTTCATCCCTATGCTTACAAAACCAGTATTTCACCAAGAGTGAATTTTTATATATTTTATCTATGCAGACCAATTCTTGCTCTAGTTATTATTTCTCCTCTAGTACATTACTTTGAGTCTTAAAATGTTTTAAAGTTTTCTTTCAATGTGCTTAAGCCACATCTTTCCAAACTCATCTACTATAAATATGAGGCCAGTCTGCATTTTATTCTCCCTCTTGATGCAACTTGACTTTCTACCTGAAAATGTCACAAGCAGATATGGACTAATGATATTTAACATATATATTAGTTCTAGAGCATTAAATTCACTACTGAAGTTGTCCTTTAAAAAAAAAAGTCACTGTATGAATATCATACCAGATGGAAGATCATCCAAGGGGAATTCAAACAGTCTGGACTTGTAAACCGAATGAAAATGAAAATCCTCCTGAAATGACACAAGCAGCAGAGATTAAGCACGTACATCCAGCTATCCACAGCCTCAGACAATCATAAGTGGAGAAACCAAGACCTTTAAGGGAACTCTAGCTTGACTGTATGTTCTCCTGAGTTTGGAAAGGCCACGAAACACTGCACAACCCCTCGCACTCACTCCTGTATTCTCCCAGCACCAGAGTAATATCCAATTAGAAGCAAAATGCCTTCACAGACAGGGAAGCCAAAGACTGCAGTAATGGAAAATAAATGAATGGACCTATTTCCCCAAGGAGAAGTAAGACATATGGGAAAATGGGTTAATGTTTTTTATGACTGGTTCCTTTCACAGATCTCTTCTCCCTTTTAGAGCCAGATAGCTTTGATAGGCAAAGACTTCAGAACTAACAATCTTCCTGGTAATGGGGAACAGAATGACTGATACAACCAGAGGCCCAAAGAGGACCCTGCTCTAAAATTCAAGTGTCATACAAAGTTCTACTAAAAAGCAAGAGATAAAAAGTCACATTTTTCTTCTAAGAAAAAATAATGAACATTCAAATAATTTCATCTGGCTTCATCCAATTATATTTTTTTAAAATGTCATAACTAGTCCAGTTTCATGATATTAATTTTTTAAAAAATCACACTGTCAAAGTGATAGACAGACAGAAAATAGTAAACAATACAGAGAGTTTCCAAAACAAGATTGTTTATGGGTGACAAAACAACATAAGTTCCTTAAAATTGCTTGCCTCTCTAAGTGTTTGACCAATGTTGCATGATACAAGGAAGAATATTTGTGTGTCCAGAGCTAGAATGGAAGTGTATTATGTTCCTCATATTAATTCAATCATTTTCTAATTTCTGGAAAAGGAGTGTTTCAACTAAAGTGAGGAAGAGAATTAAGAAGATCTAGGTTTCTCTAAACTTCATCAGCATAGGGCATTAAAGGCAATGGGCAAGGGAGAAAGCTCTGGAATCTAGAAAAGAAAGAAGGGGTGAAAAATCACCTATCTGTGGACTTGATCTGTTATAGACTGAATGTTTGTGTCCTCCCAAAATTCAAATATTGAAGCCCTAACCACCCATGTGAACGTACCTGGAAATAGGGCCTATAAGGAGATGATAAAGGTTAAATGAGGTCAAAAGGATGGAGTCCTAATCTAATATGACTGGTACTCTTATAAGAAGAGGAGACAACCAGAACACGCTCTCTCTCTCTCTCTCTCTCTCACACACACACACACACACACACACGCCCACAATCTCTGCCATGTGAGGACACAGTGAGAAGGCAGCCGTCTGCAACCCGAAGAGAGAGTCCTCACCAGGCACCAACGCTGCTGGCACTTTGATCTTAGACTTCCAGTCTCCAGAACTGTGATAAATTTCTCTGGCAACCCAGTCTATGGTATTTTGTTATGGTATTTTGTTAAGATAGATCATAGCACATTATGGTGAAGATAAAAATGGAGACTTCAGAATACCTCAGAGGGAAAATGTTGCCAGCATAAAAAAGGAAGAAACAAAAGAAATTTTTTTAAAAAAACCTTTTGGTTTTAACTTAATCAATATTTAATTTAAAAATATATGTTTAGGGTCGGCCTGGTGGCGCACTCGGTAGAGTGTGGCACTTGGGAGCGTGGCTGCACTCCCGCCGAGGGTTCGGATCCCATATAGAGACCGGTCCGCTCACTGGTTGAGCGCGGTGCAGGCGCGACACAGAGGGTTGCGATCCCGTTGCCGGTCGCGGTACGGGCATGACACTGAGGGTTGCGATCCCGTTACCAGTCACGAAAAAAGACAAAAAGGAAAAAAAAAAAATATATATATATATATATATATATATGTTTACCATCCAAGCCCTAAAAAAAATATGAAAATAAAGCAGAGAGGAAAAAATGGGGAGTAAAAAGCTCTCAGCATCAATGTTTACATTTCCCATGGCAAATAAAAAGAGCACTTACTTGGGAAGTGTCGTTTTCTTCTGGCTCAATGAGATATGTGTGGTTCCCATCATAGAACATCCCACTGCCAAGGACAAGAAAATAATTAGGCATGACTATCAACTCTTGTCTCAGAACTAGATGATTTCAAAATCAGCAGCAGCCAGGGGGCCAGTCTACTCCTCAGTGCCCACTTCTCAGTCCCACCCATCACCACCAGATACACCACACACACACTGCTGAGAGGGACTTGGAGAAATCCTTCTGATTCCCCATAAGTAGGGTCCTTTCATCCTGACCCACACCTTGCTCAGGATTGTCATTCTCTAGATGTTGCCCATTAGCCCTCCCTCTAAGTATATTCTAAATCTTTAATATGCAAAAAGACACCTGGAGAGCTTATAAAATGCAGGTCTTTCAAGACTCTCCTCAGATTTCTGGATAGGACCCAGAAGCTGCATGTTAAACAAACCCCAAGTGATTCTGATGCTGGTTGTCAAGGACTGTACTGAGAATGGCCTACCTACCACATGCTTGGAAAATGCTCTAGTAACAGAAACGAGCACATCTGAACAACTCGCCATGAGCTAAATACATCACACTCATTTAATCTTTTCTACAAACCTATGAGGGACATACAAAGACTATCCTCATTCTACAGGTAAGGAAACTGAAGCCCAAAGAGATAAAGTAACTTGCCCAAATTACATAACCAGTAAGAGCATAGGCAGGAATAGTGCCCATGCATATCGGTATACTAACTGCACATTTGCAATCTGCTACCTGCCTTCCTTCGTTCATTCATTCCACACATACTTATAGAGCACCTACAGTGCACTGCTGTAGGTGCTGGAAATACAGTAGCAAACACAAGAGACCAATTCTCCGTCCTAGTGCTGCTGATGTACATTCTAGGGAGGACAGACAATAAATATATAATAAACAAGTAAACATATATTAGATAGTGATAAATGCTAGGAAGGAAAATAAAGCAGGTTAAGGGAATAAATAAATGCTGCCAGAGGACTGGGTGTAGGGACCAGAGAGAGAAGACTGTTGATTTATACAGGGGTCAGAGCAAAGCTTCACAGAGAAGATGGCATTTAGGCAAAGGCCTGAAAGAAGTGAAAGGATGAGCCGGCCATAAAGATATCTGTACAAACAGCATTTTAGACGCAAGCCCAAGGTAAGAGAATCTTGGCGTGTTCCAGGAACAGCATGACAGCGTGGCTGGAGGAGAGTGGGCAGGGGGCAGAGTGCCAGAAGATGAGATCAGAGGGGAAGTGGGGTAGGTGTTAGGTATTATGTAGGCCGTTCTAAGGGCTTGGCTTTTACTGAGAGAGATGAGGAGCTTATAATGCTGAAGAAATTTGTTACCATCCAGGCAATTGAGGGGAACAAAGTTGCGATCTTCTGCAGTAATTGTTCAGTTTTAGGTGGAAATGACTGCATAACAGCCAGGATGCTGAACACAAAATAATACAGTATTTGTCTTTCATGATGCCTTCATGAAATTGGTTGGTTTCCCTGGGCTGTAATAATAATGGCCTCAAGTTCTGCCTCTATCCAAATTCTTTCATTTCTGCTGTAACATCTTCCACATGTCCTCAACTTTTATATTCCCATAGAATGACTATTCTCACATCTGCACAGTTTTCAAACATAAGTCTACTTTCTGAATTTGGATGACATTACATTTGGAATTTAAAGATAAACAGACGCAGTTTATAAGATATTACTGAGAACATATGCCTAAGGAATCATAGGGGGGAAGCCTTTTCAGAACAGTAGACCAAATATGGTAGTGAACATTCTCTCCACCCCTGCTGAGAACTGACAGACCCATCCAGAAAATAGTATAAAACCATCACCCTGTGCCAAAATTCACATGGCAACACCAATGAAGTAGAAAGCAGACTATTTTGTTCGAATAGTACTGGGTATTATTTACTCTTGCAGTAGGTTAATGTCCAATGGGAAAATCAGTTCTTCTTACTAGGTTTAAGCATAATGTATACACTGTACAGAAAGCAGATTCTGACACTCTCTATACCTAGAAGACTCTGGCTCCTTATAAGATAAAATATCATTATTAATACCTTAATAATTTAAAAATACATGTTTTATTTGCTTTGTTTGAGGATTGATACCTTTTGTCACATTTACATAAATTCTAATAAGTATGCTGAGTCCATAACAGTATATACTTGATAAAAAACCTGCAGCTAGGTTCAAGTCATTACAGATCAATTGAACTAAAATTTTAAAAGGCTGAATCAAAACAAGATTTCAAAAGGAAACAGCATTTTTTACAAATATCCACAAGAGGGCAATAAACTCATGTTACATTCTTTAAGGTTCCCATAGTTACAGGATTTTGTTATATCAATCACACCAGGACCAAAACATTGCCTATCAGTACTTTGAATTTAAAGAAATGTGCCCATGAAGGTTCTTTATGGGAAAGACATGTGAACCTGATTTTCTTCCCCTTTATGTTCTACAACTGAATTCAGTAAATCAGAAAAAAAAAAAAACTCAATATGCACTTGGTAATTTATAAAGGATGAATCATGGATGAAATAATATAACTCATATGTTAATCATTGTAATTGAGACAACATATATTATTTAATATTTAGTAATATCCCCCTCTCAAATATTTCTGTCAGCAATTTTTGTTCATAAGGTAAAGTCAAGATGAGAAGTAATATCGAACGGTTCAAGAATATATTTATCCAACATGCTCATAAAAGTCTAAGAAAGCCCAAACATGGTTGTACATAATTCTGCCAGTGTCCTAGATATATAGTGGGTTTTCTGTTTATTTTTGTCTAGTTATAAAAGAAAACATTTCTAAAGGTAGAAGTAAAATTTACTTATTTAAAACAACTGAGGCAGGATTCTGAGTTCTACTGCTGATTTAGCTACTGTAAAATTTCCTGAAAGCTATTTTTCCATCCTTGTTTAAATGACTATTGTAGGATTAGTAGCAAGGTATTGTTCTTAGGTTCTCAGGTTAATCAAGGCTCTTCTCTCTCATTCTCACAATATGGTGTCCATTTGGAAAACCAGGAGGCAAACTGGAACAAGCAATGAGCAAGATGCTCACAATGTGACTTTGCATTGAGATTTTAAAAAGAAGACAGGAAGGAAAAAAACCTCTCATTTTTTTATATTGCTCTACCCTCTAATACGCATTTGCTATCACAAATGTCAACAGGTGCGACTGTACTATTCCAAGCTGACAACTGTGCTCATCCTGAGATGAGATACAATTTTACTACTGAAAAGAACTTCAATGTTTCTTATGCCTGATAAGAAAACCAAGGCCATCAGATTATTAAGCATGGATTCCATGTTTGTAAAATTCTCTCTCTACTCAAAGAATTTATTTATAATAAATACATTTATAAATTTATTTACAATAAGTAAAACAGGTTTTTAGAAGAAACAACAAGCGAATGGAGGTCTTCCATGCTCTCAGGCACACGGCTTCCCTTCTCTGGCTGTTTAACTCATCCTGCTGTTCTCTCCTTCCTGCCTAACATACCTCTCCCAGAGCCTGACCAGAGGCTCCACTTAGGCAGACTAGCTAGATTTTCTAGCCTTTCCCATTACATCTTTTCTAGATTGGAGATCTGTCAACCTGCCACCCACCCCCTGGATCACTTTATCAAACAAAGCCTGCTGCACTACACCTTCTTCAGGTGACATATCTCTGGAACGCTCAAGTTCTACTTCTTCAGTGCCAACTCTGAGCTTGCGTTTTTCCCGGGGGTTTTTTTCCCTCTCTCAAAGAAAACACCCATACCAATCACATTCAGTAGCAGGAATCTGGACTAGATTTGGCCTCCCCAGTAGACTGTAAGCTCTCAAGACTCATGTTTCAATCGCCTTAATATTCGTAGTGGCTGGCACACAGCAGACACTCAATAACTGCTTCTTAGATGAAAAAGCCACTTCTCTAACTTGGTAACAGAAAGGAAGTACTTTAAAGTTTCCAACAAAAATTGAACAAAACTAAATTAAAGTGCTGGCTTGTTCTGTGCCAAAAAGTAAAACAAACAAGAAAGAAATGAGATGATTTAGTCTAAACAGAGTGCTGAGGAAAGACACAGTAGCTTTATAAGGGGTTACAAAACAAATAAGAGACAGCCACCTGTGAATCACCATTATCACCAGGACAGAGGAAGTAGATGTATTCCCATGTCACACATCAGCAAATGTTCTTTGATAGTGAAGGTTATGAGAAAGGAAGCAAGGCCCCAAGGAAGGATAAACTCCATTCCTTCGAGATCTCTGAGAACAGACAGACCCTCCCACGAGTTCGCTGTGAGTTAGGTGGGATTCTGGCTGGTAAAGGGCTGAAACACATGAGCTCTTAAGGTCACTTGCCGCCTTTTGTCTTTGTGCAAGGAGTCAAGAATCTCCATCCAGTGAAATTTCTATTATTCCGCAAAAATATGAAAACTATTATCAAGGAGGAGTAGGGGTAGAACTGGTACCAAGGGGCTAAACATCCACAGAAATAGAAACCCAAGTTACCCAAACAACTCCTGTCTAAATTCAGATAAAACTAGAGAAATGCTTCAAATATCAGTACAGGGTATCATATTACAATTCCAAAGCCTGTTGTTTCCGCAACTCTAATTTTAAAATCTGCTTGGTTTATAAACCACAATGAAAAAAAATCAGATCCATTACTGATTTAAAATTATTTCTTGACATAAAATAGAGATTTCTACTATAGTGCATTAAAAATAAATAAGTTATCAAAAGAATGAAGGATACAAATAATTTTCTGAACACTTACTGAAGTCCATGGCATGTTGATAATGCAACAAATGAGGCAGGGTTTCCTCGGATATGGCCCTGGTAGTAACAGTGCTCTCCTCCCTGAAAACAGAAAGAGAGAACGTTAAGTCTTTGCCATCGCAAGGAAAATCAGCCACATCATTTCATAGGAGGTTTCTGCTCACACTGTACCTTCACATGTAAAGCTCTGCACAATATTTCATTATTCAGATTAGTTTTATCAAACCATTTCTAACAGAATTATTTATAAACACTCATAGTGAGCTGACTCCAAATCAAAAGTCAGGGAAATAGAAGTTGACTTACCTTTCCTTTTATGTAGTAACAAAACAGCAGATATTGAAATACACATGCGGCCCTTACACCAGAATGAATTTAATCATCTATTCCCCTAGTTTTGAGAGTCTCAACCTCAAGCAGCAGCAAAGCAACACTCTTTCCCACACACCTAAGTAAAAATGAATATAAATCTTTTGGTAGTCACTAAATTATACTAATGGAGGAAAATGCCTGTTTTTACAGTGTTTGTGTCAAAACATGATGCCACACAGACAAGTTTATACTATTCTTTTCTCAAAGCAGGAATGGCTTTACTGGTAAGCAGCCTAGAGAGTGAGTTTGAAATTGTGACATTTCTTCTAACAGCCAGTCACATTAACTAAATTCTACAAAGAGATACTCATTTCTTTGGATTAAATGTGCCTGGAAAAGGCAGTAGGGTAACTCCTCTGCCATCTCAGGTTATCACCTTTAAATACTCGCTACTCAGAGTATGAGGTCCAGAGACCAGCAGCCTTGACATCATCAGAAGCATGTTAGAAATGCAGAATCTCAGGCCCCACTCTAGACCTACTATATCAAAATCTGTCTTTTAACAAGGTCCCTAGGTGATTCACACGCACATTAAAGTTTGAGAAGCTCTGCTGTAAATGACCCTTTCTTATTCTCCCACTATTGTCCTATTTTTTTAGTAGCTGAAATCTTCTAATTATATTGACTCACTGAGATATGGAAGAGTGAAATAGGAAGAATTGATAGAAAAGGCGGTTTAAAGAAGCATATGTTACCTACTTCACAGTCTGGTTTAAGAACTAACCCTACTTAAAGTATTCAGTGCTTGACAAGTTGGAGAGAACAGGAAGACTTGGAGATGTAACAGGGCTGAAAACATTTTTGTCACCGAAATTCCAAGGAAAGCAGCCTAGTTTGCAACTGCTGTTCCTCATGAGATAATCCTGCAGAAGCTGGTGAGTCTCAGCTTTGGGGAGGGGGTGGAGGGCAGATATAATCATACACAACGCAATCCTTGGCCCTATGACACCTCCCAATTCCCAGGGGAGTCTCTGCACATCATGAACTATCATGGTTGGATCTGATGAAGAAGAGAGAATGGCACTTTACATCTGGGTCGGACATGGGATGCAACCCAAAAGGCCACAGAGAGTTGGCAGAAACAAGTCCTGGACAGTAGGACATGAGGCACTGACTTCATGAGGAGGGTCAGTGTAGCGTAGATGTTAACAGTGTGAGCTGTCAGCTCCTTCACTTACTAGCTTTGTCATCTCAAGAAAGTTGTAGAATCTGCCTGTGTTTCAGTTTCCTCATCTGTCAAATGGGGATAATTATCTCATAAGGTTATTATAAGGATTAAAGGAGTTAATAGGCATAAAGGGTTTAGGATAATGTTTGCCTTGGTATGCACTGAATAAATGTTTGCTGCTATTACAATTACTGTGTCAAGTATTATTCTGCTTAATTTACATACACAATCACATTAAATCCTCACATAAATCCAGCAAAGAAATATTGTTATCCCTATTCCAAATAGGAGGCCACAATCTCTGACAGCCAAGGTTGTACACCTGGGAAGTTGCCACATAGGGATGCAAACTTTGTGTGAATACAAGGCCTGTGTCCTTTCCCCTACACTAGTTATGATTGGACCTAAACCCATGGGTTATGCAGTACAAATCTAAGCTTGTGCCTAGGCTGATTTATTTTATTTTATTCTATTCTACTTTTTTTTAGTAGAGCTGGGGGTAAATTTAACAGAATTTAAAATATCTTCCGCCAGGCTGTTAGACTGGAGAACTGACCATGAGATTAGATTCAAAGTGCATGAGAGGAAGTTATGATTCAGGTGACTCTGATTTCCTGGACACATCTGATTGGACCAGAGATCAACACTCTAGCTTTTATTGGCCAGATATGAAAGGTCAGCAGTCAATGAGGTGACCCGGATGGAGAGAGAACTCTGTCTAAAAGTGTCAATCAGACCTTCTTTGAGTGGTGTAAGACTCACTGTGAACAATAACACATAAACATAGTAGAAACAAAGAGAAGTAGAAACAAGGAAGATAACCGCAAATATTATGGTATCAGATCAGGAAACAATGGAAGTTGGCAGTCATTGTATACAGAGGAAATATGTCAGTGGCAAAGCATGCAAGAAATATTTTACAAATTACTAAAGTTTTATTTAAAATACCAATCTGGAAGAATGTTGTATTAAATCATAAAAAGGACAAAGAATTCATTTTTTAAAACATTCCTCCATTATATTGGGGAGAGTTAAATAGATGATTAGATAATGGAAAACAATCTTTCACTAATTTCTGATTTGGAGAAATAGGAGTCAATCCAAAAACAGCATATGATGAGGAACCATCTGCACAAAAGCCTAACACTGCAGATGAAGTGAAGAGCTCAATATGGTTAAATCATTATCAAATGTTTCCATGACACTTCAAGAGAAGCGTAAACACCAAGGGGGAAAAAAACCTCCTCACTTTAGGCTATTATAATTCAAATTCTGAGGCTCTCGACTGGTGCTATATGTAATTCTTGAGTGGAAATTCATTTTTGTGTTAAAATATTTTTCAGGAATTATTCACCATAAATTAATAATTATTTAAACTAAGAAGTAATAAAGGGGTTTTTTTTCCCCCCTTTAACATGCCTGGAAATATTTTTCAATCCAGGATAGAGGCTTTAATGTTAAAGGGCTTCCTTAATTTATATAACACTATTATTAAATTCTTAAAATAAATAAAATTTAATATTTTTATTTTTTAAATAATTATTTTACTTATTATTTATTTATTTTATATTATTATTTTTAAATAACACACACAAGGCAAAAATTCTAAGAATTCAGAGGATATATGGTGAAGAGTATAAAAATACTCCCCTCACACACACTGTACAAGCTATAGCTACCTTCTAAAAGGTAAGCATTTTAGGGGGGGGCCAGCCCAGTGGCGCACTGGAGAGTGCGCCGCTTGGGAGCGCAGCGGCGCTCCCGCTGAGGGTTCGGATCCCATGTGGAGACCGGTTCCCACTCACTGGCTGAGCACGGTGCGGGCGCAACACCGAGGGTTGCGATCCCGTTGCCGGTCAGTAAAAAAGACAAAAAGGAAAAAAAATTAAAATTTTAAAAATAAATAAATAAATAAATAAAAGGTAAGCACTTTTTTTTTTTTTTTTTTTTTTTTTTTT